AACCAACCAGGGATGTCCCAAGATCACAGGAGTGGCAATAGTCTCTGTTAAAAAAAACTCAATAGTTTCGGAATGGTTACCAGAAGTAATGAGTCTTATAGGAGCAGTGGAGTGTGTGATGGTGGGGAGAGAAAGACCGCTAAGAGCGTGCACTGCGATAGGAAGAGAAAGGGGAACAACAGGGATTTTCAAACTGTACGGCAGCTTAGAGTCAATAAAATTCCCCTCGGCTCCGGAGTCGATGAGCGCATGACAGTGGTGCATGATAGAGTTAAAAGATAGATTGACTGGCAGCATGGTTGTGTTAGGGGACTTGTCAAGGGTGATTTCACCAGCCAGTAAACTCTTACCCGGCGACGAATTCTTATTCTTGGCTAGACACGAAGCCACAAAATGTCCAGCGACTCCACAGTACATGCATAGTCCTTCCATGCGGCGACGACGCCTCTCCTCCGTGGAAAGCCGAAATCTGCCCATCTGCATGGGTTCCGGCTCGAGATCAGATGAGGGGGGTTCAGAAGATGCAGCGAAACGAGATTGCGTGGGAAGAAGTGGAGTGTGCAGTTTCTTGTGGGAACCTCTCTGTTGTAACCGAGTGTCCACTCTGATGGCTAAATCAATAAGCCCATCCAGTGTCTTAGGCAGATCCATGACGTAGATTTCATCTTTAATATAATCTGCTAGTCCGTGCAAAAACATGTCCCACTGAGCTTCGGCATTCCATTTACATTTGGCCGCCAGAGTACGAAAGTCAATGGAATATTCAGCAACACTCAACTTATTCTGTCTGAGTTCAGCGAGCTTACGAGCCGCCTCTCTGCCAGAGACCGCTCGGTCAAACACAGTTTTTAACTCCTCTGAGAAAGCTTTAAAGGAGTTACAGCAGGGGAGTTTACGCTCCCAAACAGTGGTACCCCAAAGTGCCGCTTTACCTGTCAGCAAATTGATCGTAAACGCCACCTTACTCTCTTCGTTAGGGAAAGACGAAGGCTGTAGCGTGATGTAAAGTGAACATTTTGCTATAAATGACCGGCACAATTCTGGTTCGCCGGCGTAACATGCTGGTGGTGGAAGTCGCGGTTCAGTGGATCTGGGGGTCTCTTCTAGCGCATGAGCTGCTGGTGGAATGGTGGGAGGAGCTTGCTGGACAGCTTCAGTACGAAGCTCAGAACCCAGTCTCTGAACCTGAGTCGTGAGCTCAGAAACTTGAGTGACCAGCGCCTCAATGGCCTGGCCGGTCACTGCCATTTGTTTGTCCTGATGATCCAGTCGGGCTGAATTGTGGGTGAGGAAATCCTGGATTTTGGTAACACTTGCTGGGTCCATCTCAGTGGTCAGTTCGTTCTGTCACGAAATACAGGGAGACCCAATTGCAAGTAAAATAATTATTTATTGACTCAGACAGAATGACAGAAGGAAGAACGCAGGAAGATGATGAGTGAGTCAAGCGAGCAGCAGGAAATGTAAATCGAACAGGGAGCACTGAAGAACAAGATCAGAGAGCCGCCAACAGAAAGGTACAAGAGTCCAAACACAGAGCTCTCCCCGCGACACACGACCAGAACTAGCGACCGGAACCTGACAGGACACAGACAAACAGACGTGAAGAAAACGAACTGACACTGTGAGACAGAAACGCTGAACATATATAGGCGCGGTAATGCGCTGCACCTGTGGTCCACTGATTACAACTGAGCGGTGCTGCGCACGGCAAGGCTGGTGACAGCGTACACGTGACCACCCAGCTGATAAGGTAAACACAACTGACAGCAACGCGACTCTAACAAAGACACAGAGACACCCAACACACACACTCATACACGCATTTACGTAAAACGCATAACGCACCACACCGCACACACACACATACACACACGCAGACACATCATAGAAGAACAGACAGATCCACAATCGTGACAGGAACTTGCAGCCATTTGATAGACTTGTTTCTCCTCACGCCTCATTTCTGTCGACTGTTTAAGGTAACGTTAAGCGGGCTGTGTGCGCGAGTGATACACTTATTTAAATATGTCTCATAATAATACTATATAGGCACATTTATACACATTTTTAAAACTTTTAGAACAACCGCAAAGCAAAACAGATGTATTTCCCACGTAAAAATTATCCAAAAGGCACAAAGGTCTATGTTTTTTTGTGTGTATTTATTAGTTTATAATATATAGTGTGGATTATAATATAATATACAGAGAGATTAACTCTTTGTCATGGACATTATTTCTAGAAATAAGCTTGATAAGTTGTCTGGAGGGCTCTGTAGTCCGTTTATAGCCTAATGTTAGCTTTTTAACTCTTGCGTTTGCATTTAAGATTCAAAAGTGCTCAAAGTTGTATTTTGGTGTGAGGATTATCCGACTGAACAAAACGTGTAAGTGTAATGAACAGTGTTTGAACACAGAGCTTATTATTCGCAATCTTCGAAAAGCCTATGGGAAAATCCTATAGGGATTTTCACGAGGGAACCAGTTTTATGCTAGCAGTCAATTAGCCTACAAAGTGACGTCATAGTTCCTCCACTCTATTTGTGGATCTGTCTAATGTTTTTCTGAGGAGGAGTGTGTGTTTTGGTGCTGTACTACTGTCTTCAATTGTTTTCAAAGATCAGAGACCTGAACCTGATGTACTGTGATTTAACAGCTAATAAGCTCAAATTATTAACTCAAAAACTCAAACTAAAAAAAGATTCTTCCGCCAGCACTCTGTTTGTGTGAAACTCTGAGGCCAGCGTGTTTGATTGGAGAAAACTTGTAGATTTTTTGTGGCATGTGGGTTAGTGTGCTGTGGCATACATGTTTTTACAGGATGAAGAAAACCTTGTATTAGCATGCAGACTAAAGAAACCCTCATGTATAAGTGTCAACATGTCTGCTACTGTTGTAGATGATAATTTACTCTTTATGGCATGGCCACTTTTTTATTAAATGCTTTATTTACTAATGAGTTGTAATGCCATGTGCATGTGTAATGGAGGCCAGCTAATGAGTGCTGTGCAGGTAAACCTCACTCCTCTGACCTCTAAAGGTGCTTTAGCGACAGACACTAGAGGTCATGGTCTTTAGCCTCCTTGGTAGAGCACCCGACTCCCATGCGGAATACCGTGTGGTACCAGCTCAGAGCGAGTTGGGTGGTGTAGGACCGGAGGGGTTACACATGTATTTGAAGTGTTTTAAAGTAAATAATTTATATAATGTGTAAAATGCATTGATAACTTATAAAAATGTTGCTTGTTGGTTGATGGGTGTTGTGCATCATATGTGTGTAAATATAATCAATAATTTATCGTGTAATTTCTCTCCCATGCAGCAGCTGTAATAAGAAAGAGAAGATTGACTTCAAACAAAAGATTGTGGACAAACAGGGACAGTAAGATCTTTTCTGTATTGTGTAAAGCGTTTTCTGTGTAATAGATTAGTCATCCGGTTCATCATGATCATCTGTGTTCTATAGGGTGAGCATCTGTGACTCTGAAGCGTCTGCACGGGATCTTCAAGACCAAGATTCAGATCACTTGAAGCAAGTCCATGAAGAGCCGAAACTGAACTCTGACAATGACAAAACGATTTTTTTTGATGCTCACAGATTGGCTTTCATTGAAAGAGTTACCAATGTGCAGAGCATTGCGGATAAACTTCTAGACCAGAGAATAATTCATAAAGAGCTGTATTCTGAAATCACACAGACTAACGTGACCAGACAGCATAATATGAGGAAGATTTATGACTCTGTGGGTTTAAAAGGTAAGAAAGCAAAAGCTCGATTCATTGATATCCTTCAGGAAGAAGAGCTCTACCTGCTTGAGGACCTGATGTGCTCTGATGCCTAACTTTGTACTGTGCTGTAGAACAGTGTAGCGCTGCCACATAATTGAGTCTAGGCTTGCTGCAAAATTCATTAAATGTGTGACAAGGCCATGCAGTTAAGCATACTCATAATTAGTTATTTTATTCCACTAATAGATCAGTGAGTAATGGACTTTTATTTTATATTCTTTATTTTGAAATAATGAGGTGAATATCCTGTCTGAACTGTTGCCGTTTTCTCTATATAAAGACATTTACACACACACACACACACACACACACACACACACAGGGAGTTATTGTTGATGTAGTGTGTTAATTCATGAATGACGTTTGTATTTGTTTGTTGTAAGAACATGATTATGAGAAGAGTCTGATTCAGTATATGACTTTGTAAAATATGGGTTGATTGATTTATTCCATAATAAAAACTGAATACACAGACAAGAGAATTGAACTGTTTTGTTTTTTTATTTATTTTTGTGTGTATCCCGTTGATTAAAGACGAGTGTTACAACAAGAGCTGCCTATATTTTTCAGCTAAGATATGCTAAAGCTTAATTGTTTGATGCACGGGAGTCGTATGCATTGATTTGCACATGTAATGGCCTCAAAAGGATTATAAACGTTATAAACACTGAACTGAAATGTTTATTTGGGCGTGTACTTCTCAATTAAATGTAGATTAGACTCATTTGGTGGTAATATTTCTGCAAACTAAATGAATTAATGAAGTTAACTTGAATAATAAAATGGTCATCTTAAAGAGATTAATGCACATAACATTTAACAGTCTGTTATTAATTACTGCCCCTCATATTGTTTCCCCTTCAGAACACAGATATTTTAACAGGAGCTCCTGAAAGGGCTGTGAGACCTTACAAGTCTAGAAAAGGAATCAGAAACAGCAAAACATTGTGTGTGAATGTTCATACGAAGCTCCAAAAACACAACTGTGTGCCCAAAACTGTGTGGATCAAGAAGAAATAAGTAAGACTAATAGGAACATTTGGAGAACTCTTCAAGCACATGATCCACTGTGAAATATGAATTTAAATCAGCTGTGATGACGATGCTACCAAATGTGTTGGTTTAGTGGTGGAATGACTGAACTACAGCACTTCTTTCACTTTTATTTTGTCTCTACAGACGTACTGTTACAATCGCTGTAGAATGTAATGACTCACATGAGTCGACACACTTCTTGAACAGTAAATACATTATTTCAGACTCTGTCTTTTAATATCGTATGTGTCTACCGTGAGAAAATGGAGACGATGCTTATTGCATCAAGACTACAAAATACAAGTAAAATGAAGACCAGTGTTGAGTGTTTGTTTCATTAGAGTAAATTAATGAAAAATGCTTTTGATAACTTTTTTAGCTGCAGTGTGTTTGGTTTTAAATGGTTTCCTGTGTCTGTCCAGCTAAAAAGTAAATAAATACATAAGTAAAATTGGCTGTTACCAGGCTGTGAGACCAGCTACACCAGGCCTGCCTTTTATATTTGTGGGTTTGTTTTGAATGTACAGTTGTTAAAAAGCTCAACTTTTCAGTTGTTTTTAATGTAAATAAACTGTTAATAATAATTATGAGTATTGTAATATTTCTGATTGATCTGATCTGAAAATATTCAATAAAAAACCGACACCACCTTGGGGGAGAACATGCAAACTCCACACAGAAACACCAACTGACCCAGCAGGGACTCGAACCAGCGACCTTGCTGTGAGGCGACAGTGCTTTTACAGTAATTCACCTAAATGTAATGTTCTCATTCTGAAGTGTGTAGCACATTTCTAGGGGATAAACTGACCTACTACAGGTGGGATTTGTCCAATATTTCCATTAATCTACGTACAATCTACAAAACATTTACAGCACATCACCAAACTGATATTTTCTCAATCTTAAGGCTGTGGTTTTTTGTCTTCAGCTCTGACTTCAAACCCCTCACACCTGAGAGAGCTGGATCTGAGCTACAATCATCCAGGAGATTCAGGAGTCAAGCTGCTCTCTGAACAACTGGAGGATCCAAACTACACACTGCACACACTCAAGTATGTGGAGGAGCAGATACATGACTCTGTTTGGGTGATTTCTGCTTAGAGACAGATAGCAGATACACTGGTGTATTTTCTTCAGATTCTGGAAGCGGTTAAAGGTGTAGTTCAGGGGTCATCAATCTCCTGTTCCTGGAGCTCCAGTGCCCTGCAGGGTTTAGCTCCAACACACCTGCCTGGATGTTTCAAGTATGCCTTGGAGCTTGATTAGCTTGTTCAGGTGTGTTTGATCAGGGTTGGAGCTAAAATCTGCAGGACACCGGCCCTCCAGGAACAAGTCTGGTGACCCCTGGTGTAGATCATTTCCAGAATAAACATTGCCTGATAATTTACTCACTTCCACTGTCTTCCCCTGTCATAAAAGATGGAAATGAAGTAAAAACATGTATAATCAGGGGTGCGGGTGTGCATGCGTAATCAAAATAAAAAACGCAGACCATGAATGTCACTAAATATTGCTTATAAGCTCAATAAACTCTTAAAGTAGATGCTTATTAATAGTTATTAAGGTGTAGTTGGGTTTGGGTGTTGTGTAGGACTAGAATAAGATCTTTATAAGTGCTCATCTTCAGAATTATCAGGTAATAAGTCAGTATTTAATAGTGTGGATTGTTATTTAAACTAAAGTGTTGGTCAAATATGCCCTTAAATGAATTGAGGAGCCATAATGGGGACTGTTTGAGCTCCATCTTGTGTCAGATTGAAATAGTCTTGTGCTCTGCTAAATGTCCACTAGATGGCAGTAGAAGACAGCAGTGATGAAAGATGAGGAAGTGTGTTAAATGAGAAAAACAGTGTTGTAATAATGTGTGTGTGTGTGTGTGTGTGTGTGTGTGTGTGTGTGTGTGTGTGTGTGTGTGTGTGTGTGTGTGTGTGTGTGTGCGTGTGCATGTGAGAGAGAGAGAAAGCTGTTGAATACACAGCTAGTCTTGAACAAAGAGCTTGAGTTCAGTTGAACTCATTCAGACATTCAGCAGAGTACAGTACACGAGTACAGGACAACTGAGGAAGAGGCGCTGGTGTCAGCTTTACAGCATTCAGGAGTTTAGCTTGATCAGTAGTAATATAATCACTGTTAATACAGGTCATGATCCTCTTGCTTTTCTGCATTGGATGAGGAATTCAGTTTAATCAGGATCTGATGAGGATGAAGAAAACACCTTGAATATCCAGTATACTGTAACGGATTAAACAGCGCAGCGTGTGAGAGATTACCGTGTCTACAGGTGCAGAGTAAACATGTTCTCATGTCTCAAACAGGTTTAGACAAGTTTTCCAGAAGTGAAAGAATTTTCAGATCTGTTGTTCAACTCGACAGTTCAGCGGAGGAACAGAGAGATCTGCAGGCATTATCTGAGGTGAGAGTTTGCTCTTTCTGTACTTTATAATATCAGTGAGTGTCGTCTTATAAGCGTCGATCATCTCTCTGTGTTTCTGACACTTCACTGCTGAGCTGAAGACATTCTGATCATTTACTGTCCACTGTTTAATGTCGAGTGTGTTTCTGAAAGACGATCACAGAAAGCTGATCATTCTGAATCTGTGATTTATTACTGATCTGTGTGTTTATGAGTGATTGGTGATTCTCAGACTGTATTCCTCATCGTATCGATGTGAGTCTGAAACTCACTCGACATCTTCATTCTGATGTGATACTGTGTCTACAGGATTAATTACAGACTCATTCAGTGAACTGAGCAGCTTTTCTACTGTCATTTATTAAGCTCACAGCAAGTGTTGAGTCACAAAAGCTCTAATAATAGTATCATGAATGCATTTAGTTTGTTTGATGAGTGTACATTTGTGGAGAAGAAGAGCTGAAGTACGATAAAGTGAACATTTTTCCCAATCGTTGGAGGTCAAACTGATCCAGCCATTGTTGGATTATTGTTGGATACCTCACCTTGTCCACCTGCTTGCTGAGGTCTAAGAGCTGGGCCTAGATGTGCTCCATAGCAAACCTTCAGCGAGGGTCGGCTTCGGGGTCGTTTGGTTCCTGGTCCTCTTCCGACGATGCTAGTCGAGACACTATGGGAACCACTGGGTGATTGGACTGCAACTACACACTTTCCGGCACTTTGCTTTGCCATGGCCTCCTTCTGGGCCGAGGCAGAGAGCTCCGAGTGCTGCTTCAGTTGTCTGTCTAGCCGGGCCGGCACCCTTCGACAACCAGGCATGGCGTCTTCCACACGTCCAGCGGCAAGCGAGAGCAAAAGCCTCTTCTCGTCTGAGTTTGTCACCTTGTAAACCACTGACAGGTGCGGCGAGAGCCGGCTGTAATCGTTGAAGCACATTCGGCCATGACTCTCCAACACAAATGATTATGGGGGAAGAGACCCACACACCACATGGAGCAGTTAAAAGGTGGCAGCAGAGGTGTCCACTTTAGCATCATGACACTTGTGCCCTTCCTAAAGGGGCAGACACCCCCCGCCCCCGGGGTGTAACCTTGCGGATGGATGGGTGCAGACTGTAACCCCGCACCACTGGCCTTGGCTCGTTTCACCCCGCCAGAGACTCTACTAGCCCCACCAACCCCTACCCCCCCTGGTTGCCCCTTTGCGGGGCAAGCGCCAGCTCCGCAGGGGTCCCTGGATTGGCACCTGTTCTCCAGCAGTGCCCGGGCACTCCACACTTAAGCCCGGGAACATGGACTTAGCCAAATGTACTGTTGGTGACCCACCTGGCTCTGGTGCACTACCCTCTCCCCCATTCTATCTCCTGGGTGTATTCAAATTCAAAGATAGCTGGGTGCACCCGCCTTTCCCAGTTCCATCACCTAAGGCCATGTTCAGTTTTTGAGGTGGCTGGGGTGCACTTACGACACAGCTCTACCACCTGATAATATGAGTTCCATGTTTGCCTTGCACAGGTTGATGGCAAGTGACAGGGGTCGGACGCGTTTGCTGGGGCAGCTAGCCTGCCTAAAGACCCCCTGGTTCCTTCTCAACCATGCCAGAATGCACAGCCAACGGCTCATGAGAAACTAATGCAGTTGCCTGGGCAGCCAAGCTGGTCGAAGACCCTCTGCTTGGTTCTCAATGTGCCAGGATGTACAGGCAACAGCTCTCTGGAAATAAACGCACTTGCCTGGGCAGCCAAGTTGGTCGAAGGCCCCCTGCTTGGTTCTCAATGTGCCAGGGTGCACACCCAACGACTTGCGGGAAACGAACGCACTTGCCTGGGCAGCTAAGCTGGTCGAAGGCCCCCTGCTTGGTTTTCACAGTGCCATGCGTTCTCCTTGCCTTACATTCTGTGTTTTTTAAATCTTGCTTTGCTTTGTTTGTTTTACTCTGTCTGCTGCCTGCCTTCTGACCACTCGCCAAATCTGGATTTGCCTTGTTTACATCTGTTTGCTTGCCTGACCATTCTGCTAAACCTGCGTTTGGATCCACACCCAAGTCGTCAGCTTCACTTCACATTACAGGGGAAGATTTTCTTGACACACTTTGATCAATTAGTATCACTTGAGCATGGTGTCAACGCCACAGCCTACCTGAGTATTGCTGCTGACCATGTCCATCCCTTTATGAGCACAGTGTCTCCATCTTCTGATGGCTACTTCCAGCAGGATAACGCAGCATGTCATAAAGCTCAATCATCTCAGACTGGTGTCTTGAACATGACGATTATCCCACTCGATCACGTGAAGCCTCGTATGATCACTGGATGTCATGACAACACCGTCACACCGGAAAACTTTGAATATTATGGAGTCCAGATTTGAGAAGCCCTGGCCTAAATCAAGCACTGAAAGCATCTTTCACTGGCTCAGAGACAAGTGTAAAACTTTGAATCTGGTAGTTGTTTAGGCATATATTGACACCAATAAAAACAGCAACACAGTAGACGCATTTCCACTATCGGGCCAGTGCGAGCCAGGGCTTTAATCAGGCCGGGGCGGGCCAATAGCCCGGGAGGTTGAGAAATGAGGCTGAAATCATGTCGCGTTTCCACTGTCGGGCTAAAGCTCACAGCGCGTCACGCAAACACCGCCCACAGAACGTCCCCGAATCAAACGTCACACAACCCGCCCACTTCAGCGGGAATCAGGCAGATAAAGCACACCATAGAATCATCACGAAACGAAACCATTAAAATGAAGACAACCGAAACAAACAAACGACACGTTACTGTACAGCAGTACATGAAATGTCTATACGCACAGACCTGTGTATTTCCATTCATTACATTTGTTTACTCGCCGACCGACTGCATTGTGCATGGAGTGCTCTCGCCACTAACGCAGGGACCCAACACAGAGAGCGCACACATCCATAATATAAAGCCACAGAAATTCTCCTTTATAACTCGATATGGCATGTATTTTTAACATCCTCGTTTTGATAGAAGTCGTGTTAAGTTTTCAGCACAAGAGCGAGTAGCCTAATAAAATATAGCCATTTGTTGCGCTCGGCAGCTATTCACTAAAACTCCTCATTTAAAGTTTCATTTATAAATTTAACCACGTCAAATAAAAACATAAACAGTTGTTTGAGGATATAGAACACATTTTGTGTTTGGACTTTCCCCCATATGCGTTTAAAGCAGCGAGCGCTGCGCAGGACTGAGTGACAGAAAAAAGGTATAGGAGATTCTGCTTTCACTCACCCAAATAATGCTCTGTTTGCGCGATTTGATTAATATCATCGTATTTAAATACTTTATAAATATTTACTTATATAAATATTTACTTATATAAATATTTCAAACCTTCTCCGGTGTTTATTGTTTTTAGAAAATATCGAAAATCTTTTTTTTGTCAGACAGGTCTTTGCAAAATGAAAGGCTATATGTGGCTTTAAAACGGTTTGATTTATGTATTGTATATAGGCTACCTACATTGTTATAGTTAGCTTTTGTTTATTTTATATTGGTTAATTTATTTAATGTGATTTTATATATATCCGGTATTTGTAATTCTTTAAATTATATTTCAATATACCTTAGGCTATTTTATTAAGATATGACAATATATTGTTTAAAGTCTACGAAAGTGGGCACGTATTTTGTTAAGTTTATGTCTTTCTGTTGTATTTATATGTGTATTATCTCCAAAATAAATAAAGAAAAAAGCCGCTCGCGGCTAGAGCTGTGAAGGAGCGCTCTTGCCCGGTCTCACACACACATACAGGCATCTAAACGTGCACAAACAAACAAACATTTTAAACTTGACAAAAACTCTCGAAAACCTTTACTGTCTGCTGTGTTTTTAATATGGTGTAAAGATTATTATGCGTTATTTAAACATAAAGGAGGACGCAGCAAAGAACGTCACTATAAATTAAAACTACTTTATTATTTTATGCAGCAGCCTTACATTTAAAAGGGGAACATAAGGGCGATCATACGCAAAAAGACCCCAGACTATAAGGCTAGATGTTTTCTTTCCCTTATTTCTTTATTTGTTTGGCGCATGTACTCATGTGCGATCAGAAAACTGCCCGCCTCTCCTTTCACTCCGCCCCGAAGCCCCAGCTGGCCCTCCTTGGCCCAAGGTATTCGGCGGGCCAAAAAGGCCGGCCGCTGGCCCCAAGAAAGCCCCGCTTTGGCCCGATTAGGCCCCGGAAGTGACAGTGGAAACCCCACTGGCCTTGGCTCGCCCTGGCTCGCTCGCTTTAGGCGCGATAGTGGAAACGCGGCTAATATCTACAGTATCTATAAACATCGTCCCTACAAAAATAAGCTCTTACATAGAAGACAAGTTATTGCTGATTTTGAAGACATTGTCCTAGACTTGGCCACGCTTAGTGTGATAAAGCTATTTGTGGTTACATGTTAAAGGAAAAGACATGCTGCTGCTGCCTGCCGGTGTGGTGCACTGGTGAAAATAAATGCTGGCAGCCAGAGAGTTCAATTCTCATTATTTCATGCTGTTATATTTAATTTTTGTTATCTCTTTTATTTGTGTTGGGGATGATGAGAACTCGACTGTATGCATGATATTTCAGAGTCCAATATGTCAGAGCACAAGTCCAATCAAAACTGGACTCAATCCCAGACACGGACTCGGAAGTCCAAGTTTGTTCGAGTCCAAGTTTGAGAACCCCAACACTACTTCTTTTTGCATTCATTGTACAACACTGTCAGAAAAAAGGAACCAATAAAGTACATTAAATATACCTTGCAGAAGGCATCATGCTTATCCAAAACAGGCAAAGCAGCAGATGAATATTACTTAATATATTTAGATGTAACCCCATTTGTAATCTTTAACATTTTCAGCCACACATTTTTTCTCAGCCACTGTAATGAACTACTGTTCTTTTATTCTGTAATTAAATGATGTAACGCCGTTACATGTAACTAGTTACCCAGGTAAAAAAAAAAAAGAAAAGTGCACTAAAATGCACTTTATTTAAGTATACTTAGTACACTTTTCAGTACTGTACTAAAAGTGCTCTATTTCCACACACTTATTCTGTACTTAATGTACTAAAAGATAGTATTAAGTATATGTTAAGATAAGCTTAATACCATCTAAGTGCACTCAACTGTGCTATTTTGAGACACCCTGAAATTGAATTAAAATGTGCTTTTAACATACTATATATGTATTTTAAAAATATATATTTAGTTACAACTAGAAATACACTTGAACCCTAATTTAAAACATTTAAATATATACATGACTAATTTAAAGAATAATACAAATTGCTTCATCAAAACACTTTAATCTTTCTGTGCAATAAACCACAAGTCCAAAAAATACCTTATGGGAAGAACAAAAACTAAGCAAAACCTGAGAACACAAAAATATAAATAAGATGCAACATTACAGCACATATATAAAATGTAAAGATATTTTGGGAAAATGTACTTCTACTACAATACATTACTGATAGATTTTTAATAAAGTCAATTTAATATAAACCTAAAATTACCACACTCAAAATCTATTTCAGTGTTAGTGATAATATTGCATTCATATTAAGTGTACTTAAGTACAAGTTTTGGGAAAATGTCCTTCTACTATAATACATTACTAATAGATGTTTTATATATTAACTTATTTTAAACTTAGGATTAGTATGTAAACAGTGTACTAAAAATCAACTCATGTTTAAAGCATTTAAAGCACACTTTTGAAAAACACACTAATAAAACTGTTTTTTCTGTAGTGTACTTTATTGTAGTACACTAAACATTTATTTAACTATTACTGGTATTTAGTATACTTTTGTCAAGTGTACTAAAGTCCTACTGAAGTATAAACATACTTTTAATTAGTATATTTATAGTGTAAAACCATCAAACTTTTATTTAACACACAAAATAACAATGTACTAAAAATGTGTTTGCGGGTATTTAAGTGTATTTTAGTTGCATTTAATTATATATATTTTTTCACCTGGGTACTCCCCAACACTGGTGGGGGTGGTGGTGGGCATGTGTACTCAGAATGTAGTTTGTCAGGGTCTTTTAACAGAGGACAGATGTGTGTGATTCTCCATCAGTGTCACCTGTCATCTGAAATCTTTCCTAAAACTGGTTTTATTAGTTTTCTGAAATGGTTGTGGTTTAACCTGTTGAACATCTAAAAACACTCCTGCGTGATGATACAGGAAGAGATGGTACAGAGCTTCTGCTCAAGACTCCAGTTAAGTAGAGGATCAAGACACTAGGCATGGGCTGGTGTAAGTTTCTGACATTATGATAAATATTGGGTAAAAATATCTGCTTTATAAAGAATGTAAATCACTGCTGTAAAATATGGTCTTTTTAAATGTCTGGGTAAAAAATAAATAAAAAATTGCCCCCATTGAACAAAATACATTTTATTTTAGGAAGCATTTGTAATATTTTGGAGCAGTAAACATGTCAGGATAAATAACTGAAATAAATCACTGACTTCTGCTCTCTTCATTAGCTTCAAGAACAGATTTCTTTACTACACATAAAAAACCCATTACAAATACCTTAGGAATGGTATAACAGAACATTTTAGCGGTATCAAAACCTCGACATTTCCAAACCACAGTAAACATTGAGACCAGTTATCCTCCCATGCCTACAGAAACATCTACATTATTCCTGATAAATAAGTACAACTTAAAATAGTGACAATCAATGTTCAAAATCTCCTTCATTTCAGGTTAAATTCAGCATTCAAATAGTAAATAAACACTTAGGTCTACATGTTAATAGTGAAACTAATTCAGATGTTGTTGCTCTTGTCCTGTAGCTGTAAACGAGTGAAGCACGATGGCGAATGTTGAAGAACTGCTCAAGAACTCACTGGATAAACTGGAAGTAGCTGGACTAAACGAGTTTCTGTGGTGTTTATCAAATGACCAAGGAGACAACTCAAAAGCTAAAATGGAGAATGCAGACCGGTTGAAGATGGTGGAGAAGATGGTGTCATGTTTTGGACCAAAAGGAGCTGTGAAGATCACAGTGGACATCCTGAGGAAAATAAAGCAGAATGACTGGGCTGATCAGCTGGAGAAGACACTGAAGCAAGGTATTGTTGAATTCCCTGTCAAACTTTACATATGTGACAATTTAATTCACATTTGATCAGTTCAAGTCTTTCATGTTAAACCCTGTTCAGGGAATGGTTTTTGAGTCAGATGTATTGTCATTTATTGCACAGCTTCTTAACTAGAGTAGAGTTCAAGCAGCTGTTCATAAGTTCCTTCTTAAACTGCAATGTAAAGTCAACACTAGAGGCTTATAATGACTAGCTAGTCTGTAACTAAACTTAATCTTACTTCAGTTGCACCACGGGTTCTTAAGGTGAAGCGTGGTTAGCAGGTCGTAAGCTCTCTGTAGAGAAGTCAATTGTGGTCACATTGAATTTCATTATATCCTATAAAAGGCTTTCAAATCATTACACTACTTTAAAATAATGCGACTAATGCATCCATATATAACTGTCCTATGAAAATGAAATGACTGGTTACATTTCTATAGTACACTAAATTAATCACTAGTAAACAAATGCTCAGGTCTATATGTTAATAGTGAAAGTAATTCAGATGTTGTTGCTCTTGTCCTGCAGCTGTGAACGGGGGAAGCAGAATTAATGTAGAAGAGCTGCTCAAGAACTCACTGGATGATCTGCTAATATCTGAACTAAAGGAGTTTCTGTGGTGTTTAGCGAAAAACTATAAATGTATTTCAAAAGATGAAATGGAGAATGCAGACAGCATGGATACAGTGGATAAGATGGTGTCATGTTTTGGATCAGAAAGAGCTGTGACGATCACAGTGAACACCCTGAGGAAAATGAGCCAGAATCAATTGGCTGAAGAGCTGGAGATTGCACAGAAGCAAGGTATTGATTAATTCTGTCTCACTTTACCAATCTCATCATTTGATTCACATTTGATCAGTTCAAGTCTTTCATGTTAAACCCTGTCCTATGGTTTCTGAGTCAGATGTATTGACATAACATTTATTGCACCAGGGTAGAGTTGCAGCAGCTGTTCATAAGTTCCTTATTGAACTGCAATGTAAAGTCTACACTAGAGGCTTAGAGCTCTATTTTGATGATCCATGTGCAAAGTGCATGGTCTAACAGGGTTGAGCTTATTCTCTTAATGAGTTATAGATGTGTTTTGAGAATAAACCAATCAGAGACTCGTCTGTCATTCCCTTTAAGAGTCAGTTGCGTCGCGCCATAAGTGCATTTGCTATGTACATGACGGACTTTGTAAGTGTAAAAACTAAAAACTTCTTTAGTGAGAACATAAGCTGCGTCCCAAATGGCACACCATGCACTCATGCACTCATGCACTATGTACTTGTGCACTTACACACTCAACAGGATAGTATATATATGTAGTGTCGCCCCAAATGGCACACTAATGTTTTTTTACTAAGCGGAAATTCAAACCGTTTCCCTCATGGCGTTTGACCGTCGCCAAATCAGTGAAATAAACGACCGAATTATCAAATAATACCTGCCGTGAGTGTTGCCGCATTCACCATCGGGAGGCGCTATAATCACTCTCGTAGGAGAATTTTGCTTTCACCATCCAAAATAAATAAAGTTATTCAACATGTGCGCCCGATAGCTCCGCCCCTTCCGCTACGTAAGCAAACCTGCGGTCGTTGAGTGTGTGAAGTGTCCATCATTACACACTTCATTTTAGCGGCTGAATGAGTGCAGCATCCGGGTAATTAAAGTGCACTTATTATTCTTAGAGTTTTCAATGTGAACGCACTACTTACACTATTTATACTACAAAATGCCGTATAATAGTGCATAAGTAAGCGATTTGGGACGCAGCTTACAGTTAAGCAGAGCATCTACAGCACGAGAATGAGAGATGAGCCTCCTCATTCTTTACTTTCACTTTCTCTCTCGTGGATAGGGAAACGTGTTGTACGCACAGACATCCACCAGCCTACATGAATAATTTGGTGTATTAAGCACAAAGATTTGTGTCAAAACTGTTTCTAAATTCAGTTCTAATCTCCAGCAAGCGAAGAAATGAACAATAATAATGAAGTGTGCTCAAACAACTGAGCTATATCCAAACACGCATGCTGCGCCCTATATGGTCTGAAACCTGACAGGTGGGCAAATCACAGCTTGTTTTTAATAAAACAAATATAAATATGCATGGTGGCGCAGTAGGTAGTGCTGTCGAATCAATGCTTAGGTCCATATGGTAAACGTGAAAGTAATTCAGATGTTGTTGCTCTTGTCCTGTAGCTGTGAACAGTAGAAGCAGGTTAAATGATGAAGAGCTGCTCGAGTACGCACTGGATGAACTGAGAGAATCTGAACTGAAGGAGTTTCTGTGGTGTTTAATGAAAAACCGCAGGGATATTTCAAATGCTGAAATGAGGAATGCAGACAGGAGGAAGACCGTGGAGAAGATGGTGTCCTGTTTTGGACCAGAAAGAGCTGTGATGATCACAGTGGACACCCTGAGGAAAATATACCGTAATGAATTGGCTGACGAGCTGCAGATTGCACAGAAGCAAGGTAATGTTTAATTCTCTGTCTCACTTTACAAATCTCATCATTTGATTCACAATAAATCAGTCAAACAAGTCTTTCATGTTAAACCCTGTCCAGGCAATGGTTTCTGAGTCAGACGTATTGTCACAACATTTATTGCACAGCTTCTTAACCAGGGTAGAGTT